TAGGAAAAGGGTTGCTGTTTTAATAATTCCTCCAAATAAACCCGAGATTATTTTCATTGGCTAGTAAACGGTGGTGGTTTTTCTGTTTATTTTTTAAATAAACAGTGATAGTAATGATATTGATATGATAGTGGTTAAAAGAGTCATTGAGGCTATTATAAAACCATTTACATACATCTGTAATTTATCATTTCAAACTGGTCGATTTCCAGACAGAATGAAAATAGCAAAAGTTATACCTCTATACAAATCTGGAAACAAACACCATTTCACAAACTACAGGCCTGTCTCTTTACTACCTCAATTCTCAAAAGTTCTTGAAAAACTGTTTAAAAACAGACTGGAAAAATTTATAGATAAACATAAACTACTCACTGAGAGTCAGTACGGATTCAGATCAAGCAGATCAACATCATCGGCACTATTAGATTCAATAGAATACATCACAAATTCCATAGACAAAAAGCAATATGTGGCTGGGTTATTCATAGACTTGACAAAGGCATTTGACACTATAGATCATGATATATTAATAAGAAAACTGGAACGTTATGGTGTCAGAGGGGTAGTTTTAGATTGGGTCCGGAGTTATTTAAGTGACAGAAAGCAGTTTGTGAAAATAAATGGTGGTTGCTCCTTATGTATGGACATTGCTTGTGGTGTACCCCAAGGGTCAGTTTTGGGTCCAAAATTCTTCAACTTGTACATTAACGACATCTGTAAAGTGTCCAAAGTATTAAAAATGGTTCTCTTTGCTGACGATACAAACATTTTTTGCTCTGGTGATGATCTGCAGAATTTATTGGAGGATATGACTAATGAAATAAGTAAAGTGAAGTTCTGGCTTGATAAAAACAAATTATCATTAAATTTGAATAAATCTAAACTTATGTTATTTGGAAATAGTAGTTTAAATACAAATGCAAAGATTCAAATAAATGGTGTTGATATTGAAAGAGTCAGTGAAAATAAATTTCTGGGGGTAATAATAGATGAAAAACTTAACTGGAGAGCTCACGTAAGATATATTCATTCCAAAGTATCACGAAGCATTGCAGTACTAAACAAGGCAAAACAGGTATTCGACAGAACATCACTTCATATTCTCTACTGTTCACTGGTTTCACCATACTTAAGCTATTGTGCAGAGGTCTGGGGCAATAACTATAAAACCACATTACATTCACTTTTTACTCTTCAAAAGAAAGCAATTCGAATCATCCACAATGCAGGTTATAGGGAACATACAAACTCACTATTTTTGCAGTCTGAAATATTGAAAATTGACGATATAGTGAAATTCCAAACAGCACAAATTCTATTCAAAGCAAAAAATAAAGAACTGCCAGGTAATATTCAGAGTATGTTTTTTTTGAAAGAAGGAAGTTATAATTTAAGGGGTTTTTGTAACTTCAAAACAATGAAGGTACGTACTACAAGAAAAGGCTTTTGTGTTTCTGTTCAAGGAGTGAAACTATGGAACAAACTGAATATGGAATTAAAGCAATGTCCAAACATAAAACTGTTCAAAAAGAGTTATAAAAATATGATCTTCTCGATCTATAAAGAAAAGGAAAATATTTAAATTAAGTGAATGTCTCTATTTAAAAACAAACAAACAAAAAATTCATGATGTGATATTATAGTATATAGTATATCAGAAATCTGTTCACTATTTTTATTACAAATTATATCAGTAAGGAAGCTGACTAAATATTCACTGATAATTTATGGGACAGGGGTGGGATTAAATAAGTGTATACTTCTTCCCACTCCCTTTCAACATGTAAATTAATCAGAATGTTTTTTTGTATGTAATTTGTATAGTATATTTTTTTTCTCTCATTTCTTTTCTAAATGTACTTGTATATTGTTCACATGTTGAAATAAATTACCAATCAATCAATAGTATGTGCAGGGGTCTGTGTCCAATATCAGCAAGTTTTGGAGGAAACTCTTCCTTCCACAGAATTTTGTCTTCTTTTTTGGGTTGCTTCCTGAGGGTGGTGTGCAGTTAGTTTCATTTGTAACATTAATCTAGTTATAAAATAGGGTTCTAAGTTTAAATCAGTTGCTTAGGATGAGACGATCATGTGTTCTATACCTGAGACAAACTGTTGTCTCTGGTATTATTCTAATAATAATTAAAAAACCATCTTGATGCTCAATCATCCAGGTATAGAAATCCCACAAAGTTGATTCTGTTCACCTGGACGTAGCGTTTTTCAGACAAAACGTTTCTCCCACTAAAAATGCTACATCCAGATGGATTTTAATTTTGATAAAAGTCTACACAGCAATGTGACTTTATCATAATTGTATTACATTTGAATGGAAAAGAGAGCAAGCTACATCATACTGGCGTGTGCCTTTTAAACTCAAACACAACTGATTTGTATATTTTGTAATCATCTCATATAATGTAGGTAAACTTTCACATTTATTACATATGATCACTACATGATATAAATGTATCAAATCAAATGTAAAATTAAAAAACAGCAGTCGCAATACAAAGAGGAAAATCCCTGAGAAAGCACAAGTGTATATTGGACTTAAAAGCAGAGAAAATTTCATTCCATTTTTTTTTTAAATTACTTCCAGTTACACCTCAGAAGTTAATCGATTCAAATGCTCAAAAATGCCACACGGTCCATTATAATCAAACACCTTGGTACTCGTGTTTGCAGTGTCCAACAAAGAGAGGCTCTGCCTGGATACCCCGCCTGCAAACGAAGTGAAACAGAAGCATCGGTGTATATTAAGCAGACCTCATAAAAAAGAGTGCGGCGATGTGTTGAGGTATGCCATGTGCGTTATCAGAAAAGCTAAAGTACCTCAGGAGTTCGCAACGAAAGTCCTGCAATCGAGGAAACGCCTTGTCCACGTCAGAGGTCTGCTTCTCATCGCTCCACAGTCTCTCTGCGGCAGCACTTGCCCTTGGCCTGTGATTTTGGATTCATCCGGTCATTATTTTGATTAATCTCATGGGCTGCACATTCTACTTAGGTTCTCTAGTTTGATCATTTCAGGGATCTTTTCAATCTCTTACCAAAGACGTGGGGTCAGATTAGTGGCATCTACATATTCCCCCCACATGCAAACTTCACCCCCTATCACCAGCTTCTTCTGTTCTTCGGTACCTGTGAAAAAGATGTGGATTTTTTTTCTTGAATAACATGTTATACTTTAGAATTGGCTATTTACAGTTCAATGTTATCACACCACTTCAAGTCAAACTTGTCAAGTCAGAGTTTTAATGGGTCTTACTAATAAGAAATCTCTACTGATAGCTCCCACCACCAGAGAAGCACCATGGACAGCACATAAGTGAGCAAGGTTGTATTATTTTGTTATATTACTTGGCCAACACACACCAGAAAAGTTCAGAGGCTGCACGGTATAGTAGTTGCGCCAGTCCTGGCCATAGGAAATGTGGTTGATGTACCAAGGTGCAGCGAGCAGGACCCTGTAGCCAGCTTTGGTGATAGCGCTGAGTTCTGCCGCATAAGAAGCGGGGAGGCCCTTCCAGATGTGCAGCACTGTGTCCTTAGGAATCTGAGAAGGGTAACAACAACAACTGTCTTGCTCCTTGTGTGTTATATTGCCCAAGTTTTTTTTTGTATGTTGAATCCAGTTGATTAGTATGTTTGTATTAAATACTTTATCATTCAGAAAAGTCACATATTTAAAAAAAGCCACCGTTCAAAGAATTTCTAATCCTCAGAGCACAAGCCAGAGCACAAAGTTACTCATCTAGTGCACATTCATGTCTGGAAAAATGCCCAGTCTGGACAATCCCCATGTAGCCAACATTTGGCAACCAGGGTTGAACTTTCCTTGAGCCATTATTCCTAAGCATGTGCACAAGATGAAAGTAAAAGACGTTGGCAAGAATTTTCTTTTCTTTCTGGGAAAGCATCAAGCTCAACTTCTGCAGAATCCCAAAACTGCCTCTGATGACAAAGCATACAGTCTAGGCTGTTAAACGAATTATCTCACCAGCATATTATCCTCACATTACTACCAACAAACTGTGCTCAATACAGCCTCTGTCCACGGAGAATTGTTAAACTGAACTGCTGCATTTATTCTTTTTAACATGTTATCTCCCTTGACATTATTTGAAAAACCTCAACAACATCTGTATAATGTTTTTACAATTTCCCATCTTTCTCAGTACTTGCAAAGATACATTTATCTTTGCTTTTATAACCTAAAATTAAGACAAAGTCTGTTAACTTGCTCATTCTGTCCCTTAAAGAGTTTTTTCATATATTTATATAATGACAATAAAGAAAACTGTGCTGAATTGAGTGACCATTATGACCATGGCCCCTTAGAAAATTATAAAAAAAAACGTTTGTGAGGAATTTAGGTGTGATTTTTTACAGTAATTTAACATTCGATAAACAGATAAATAATGTGATCAAGACCAGCTTCTTTCACCTCCGCTTACTTGCAAAGGTGAAGCCATTTCTCTGCTTCAGAGACTTTGAGTAAGAAACTTATTGGCCGACTACAGCTGGTTCAAAATGCCGCGGCAAGGCTACTGACTGGCAAGCAGAAGCGAGAGCACATATCCCCTATACTCACCTCGCTACACTGGATGCCAGTAAGTTTTCGAATTGATTTTAAGATCTTGACACTTGTTTTTAAAACATTGCACGAACTAGCTCCTATATATCTTTCTGATCTTTTAAATTGCTATACTCCAGTGAGATCTATGAGGTCTGCGGACCAAATGCTTCTAGTTGTTCCTAGGTCTAGATTAAAACACAGAGGAGATCGGGCTTTTGCTGTGACTGCTCCGAAACTGTGGAATAAACTGCATTTACATATCAGGACCTCTCCAACACTGGATACTTTTAAAACTCATTTAAAGACCCATTTTTACTCTTTGGCGTTTAATTCTGTATGAGTCTGTCATTCTTTTATTCTTATTATTGTCTTATCTTTTATTTTACTTTCCTTTTAAATGTTATCTGATTATTTTATTGTACAATACTTTGGTCAACAGTTGTTGTTTTTAAAAGTGCTATATAAATAAAATTGATTTGATTTGAATTCGAATTTCCAGCAGTTTTGTGTATAAAAACAATGGTTTTTAAATGGCTTGGAGAACCAAACATGAACAGTATCTGTAACTTTCTTCTGCTAAGCTTGTCTGATGGAAGCAGCTGTGGAATCTCTAATGGGCTACCAGCAGATTAGGTCAGGAGCAAGCATGTGGTTATGCTTTCAAGACCTTTTTTTAAAAAATAAAAAAAATCTGGAATATTTAGTAAGACACCATTATGCATATGCTTAACTCTTTGATTATCTCCCAGATAAACAAAGAGTCAATTGCTGGGTTTTTGCTTTGGCAAAGCAGCTGGCAGTAGCAGGACTTTTATATGTGTGTTCAGCAGTAAGCAGCATCACAACAATCACATCTCTCTGTAGCTGTGTCCAAGTTCTTTACACACCAAGTTATATTATTATTATTATTTGTTCATACCTGAAAAAAAAATGATTTCAGGTACAGTCTTGGGACACAGAACAGCCTTAATAACACTGATGTATAAACTGGTATAAACACTTTGTACACCCTGTAAATAGTCCCCAAATTGTAGCTATCCATAGATATATATTTTACGTAAAACCATGTTTTATCTGTTGATTAATATCAGACAAACAAACACACGCACACACACACACACACAGCAGCTTGAAAATCTTTAACTCTGCACAGCACACAGTTTTCATATTCTGACCCTTGAAGGCGAGGGGCCACACAGTGTAGTAGCGGGCCCAGTTGTGTGTAGGTCCGGGCTGGTCCAGATACCATGGAGAGGCTAGAATTACCCTGAGCCCTGCTTTAACCACCCTGCGTACTTCACACAGGTAACAGCCCTCTCTCCATACCTCCACCACTGATAGAGAAGTGCGCTGTAACACAAGGCTTTGGGCTCTCAGACAGATAAACAGAAAGCATGATATACATAGACTGTATATAAATAATGGACACAGCTAGGTGTCTTTACTGTTGCTCTCTTGCTGTTTTAACGAGTATCACGTTGGGAATCAGTAAGGCTTAAAACTGGCAACTGAAACTAAACACAAGCTTTCTTTTTGCACTCAAGTGACTCGCCCCCTTCAGGACACTAGAAAGAATGCCGATTTCAGGCACTGTGCATTGGCTGTGTTTTTTCAGACCTCTCACGTCCATTGTTTGCATACAGTCCATGGTGAAAGATCAGATCAGAACAGAACAGATGGATGTTGTCAACAAACTGTTTTAAACTGCTGGTTAGTTGGCTCAAACCACTAAACCTGCAGAGTGTAAAATTACATTTGTATCAAATGTATCTGAAGAACTTCTTAATAGAGGATTTTATTTTTTCCACAATTAGCCAGTTCTGTTTTAATGTGACAATTTCCATCCTGTACTCATCTGCAGAGCTAATAGCAACTGAGCCAACAGTGTCACAACAACTACAAAAATAACTGGTGCATTTTTATAGAATATGCATGGATCCTGTAGATACTTGAACACACTCTAAAATATCTATAATTAATAATCCAAGAACAAAACTGTAAAGACACAGGACTATGCAAAAATGTTGAGCCACTCCTCATTCCTTCATATTTTGCTTCCAAGGAGCAATACTTTGTTGTAATTTTTCAGGGGTTGTCTTGTACAATAGTTCTCCAGGCTGGTTTTTTTTGGGCATTGGCTGCTTTAGCACTCGATTTCAGTCCAATCCTTGTACCCAAGGATTTCTTTTCGGCCATTTAACACTTACCAATGAATTATTCATGCATAGAAACACACCCAAGGGATGAACTAGCAAAGAATTTTACATTGTATCTTTAGACACTTTGTCATTAGCAGCAAGATTAGCAAGAATTTTGATCCAGCATGCAATACCATCTGTAAAGCGTCTGATTGGCAACAGCTTCATTTTTTAGCTTGACAATGACCACAAACACTACCAATGCGAGACAACAAAAATGAAGAGCTTTGAATGTCCTTCAAATCTGGAGAACTATTCCTGAAGACTACTTAAAGAAATTACCAGAAAGCTTGCCTAAGTGCAGGAACATTTATATACAGAACTGCACTTATTTCTTATCTTCTTAGCAGAATATAAATAAATTATGGGTGGCTTTTGCATAGTACTGCCCTGGTAAAATATTATAAAATTCATTGAAATTCACTTTTTTTTTTAATTTCAAATTTGTACTTGTTAAATTTGTGTGAATGTGTGCGTGAATGGGTGAATGACTGAATGTAGTGTGAAGCACTTTGGGGTCCTTAGGGACTAGAAAAGCGCTATACAAATGCAGGCCGTTTACCGTTTACCGTTTAAAATCAACATCATGCACTTCCAACCACATCCTCTAAAAACCACAAACGCAGGAAATGTACATTTTTTATATCATGAAATATAAGTGTTTCGGTGGGGCGTACTTACTCGTTCATGATAGTCAAAAACATCCTGCCACACAATGGATGTTCTGTTGAGAGCTACAGTGATGTTCACAATGCTAAAAAAAAGATAAGCACATGAATGCATCAGTTGGTGTATTTTGCAGAACCTTCTACATTGTATTTTCCCTTTTACAACCTACTTCTCCATGTAGTAAGCTTCCAGTTTGGTGAAGTCTGCTCCAAATCCCATTTTCAGCATGAATGCTCGGACATCAGGGTTGGATTTCCTACAAAAAAAAATGTGTTCATTGTTTATGTAAAATTTTCATAAACTCTCTTTTATTTAATTATCAAAAATCAGAAAAACTTATTCGAAATTGTTAACAATCAGCCGACGTGTAAATGATAGTTACATTTTAACCTACCAGCAGGAAAAGTTAACCTCATCTCCTCCTAAGTGGATATAGGAATCAGGAAACACCGAAGACACTTCCTTAAATAGTGTTGCCATGAACTTGTACGTGGAGGGCAATATTGGATTAACAGGACCAAAAGTACCAGAAGGGCTGCTCCCACTGTAGCAGGGAGTCAACAGGTCAGACTGGCCTGAGAAATAATTGTAAATAATTAATTTGACTCAGTCATATCCTTCAAATACATTTTTTTGCATTTTCTATCGAGAGCAGACAATTTGTTCCACTGATGTAACCACATAAGCAGTAAGTCAGCCTTCACTACATATTATATTGCCATTTATAGTCTTGACTTGCAGATTTGGCAGAAATTATTCCTACTGAGCCTTAACTGGACATCATGCCAAGTACTTTTTCTTCTATAGATCAAAATGCTGAAATCATTTGGACTAAACTGTTTATTGTTAATGTCACTTACTGGATGTTGGGAGTTTAACTGAATTTTTACCTTTTCCCCAAGACTGAGTGTGGCCTGGTGAATCAAACTCAGGAAGGACTCTTATTCCCCGCATTCTGGCAAATGAGATCACCCTTCCTACATCTGACTGCGTGTAGATGTGAGTCATCGGATGGAAAGCCCCCTGAATAAGAGCCAGAAGTCGCTGTTCAGAGTGGATGCTATTTTTCAGCCATTTCCTATCTCATGAGTCTATATGCATTAAACTTACTTAGATTTCTGGGATAAAATAGCCAAGAACACCTTAGAAAATTAGGATATTTTTTGCAAGGCAAATTGTAATGAATGTGCATAGTTACAGTGAGGATCATATGATAGGACTTACGTAAGTGCCTCAAGGAAGAATATCAACAAACCTTAGCAGACAGGTCCGGAAAGGTGCGGCTCTGATAAGGGAAGGAGGGGTCATCGACAATGTGCCAATGAAACACATTGAACTTACTGAAGGCCATCGCATCCTAACAGAAAACATGTATGTCAATACAGCTTATAATAAATACAGTGACTCAAACAGAAGGCTGAAGTTTCGATTGTGTCATCTGATTATTACCAGGGTTTTTAAAATGGCCTGCACTGGTAAATAATGACGTGAAGTGTCCAATAAAATCCCTCTGAACTGAAAGCGGGGGAAGTCTTTAATCTCAGTCTTGTTCACATAATACTAAATTAAAAACAAACAGAAAAAAGGGAAAAATATTAATTATGCACATATTTGAAACGTGATTACTCCAGAGGCCTTGTTGTTAGTTTGTGCATTAGGAAAAACTGCGACTTACTGAGCCAAAATCCTCTTGATAAACCAACTGACTGAAGGTTTCCAGACCTGTGCTTAAACAGAGGGTGTACAGTACATAATCAGCAATTTGTTATACATGATAGATGAGGTTGACAAAATGTTGGAATTTCCCTACTTTATAATCCACATGCAGTAGGCCTACTTGAAATTCTACTGAGTAAAACTATAAAGAAGGTGTCTGTGTGTGCCACATGAAGTGTTGCATCAGTTGAGTCACATGAGTTAAACAAAACTGGAAATACATAGCACAACCTGACAGGCTACTTACTGAATATGTAGTAGAACAAGAAATCTGCTACAACTCATCAAGCTTTGACATACTTTGCCAGCTTAAGAATCAGAATCAGAATCAGAATACTTTATTAATCCCGAAGGAAATTAGGGATGGTTAACATGTTTGTTTAATTACCAATGCTCTTCAGATATATTTTACATATGCTATAATCACCTCTTAGAGCACCCCACACAGTTTCTGCCTTCAGAGATGCTTGTCCAGCAGAGACGCTCAGAGTGTCTGGAACACAAACAGGAGAAATTATGATATTTTGTCAATCTCTATATAGTATTATGGTGGTTAAATTCATTACAAAACAGTGTTACTTGCTCTAATCAATGGGCATCAGCGGGTTGTACTTACATTGCTCAGAAGAGTCTTCATCTGGGTAGCTGTCGCAATCATCGCGGCCGACACTTACTTGGACAGTAAATGGTTTATCCACACTGAATCGCAGAAAACCGTAACCTGGTGGTGATAAATATTAAACCATTACCACAGTATTTGCAGAAGTAAACTTGCACTTTAAGCACATTACACACTGATTTTTGTTCCCTAGGAGCTGTGGTTCTTGTGTTTGTTTCTGAAAAGACAAAAACGAAGCTGTGCTACTCTCGTCCATTGTTATTGTGAGGTTATTTTCAGTTGGTATGCCCGTGCTGGCTGACTGATGACCTGTTGTCTGTACAATGACCATTGATCTGTTTTAAAAGCCAGCATGACAAACAACATTGAAGCCACGTGAGCACTTTGCTCTGTTTATTGTGCGTTTACAATCATGTTTTAAACGTGTTATAATGCCAAACCATCTACTAATAGTGTCCAGATTAGACTTTCACAAAAAGTTAGTTTTTATAGGCTATTTCATATCCTTAATGTTTTTCGAATATCTAAACAGTCTGACTGAACAACTACAACGTTCAAGTTCAGCAAGACTTTAAATCTTACTTCGTTTTTGCATTTTAAGAATTTCACCTCACTATAAAACCTACCAGATGAGTAGTCTGGAAAAATAAGAGAAAAGTATCTCTTAAATGCTTCATCCAGAACAGAGCAGCCCTCCTGTGCAGCTGATTGACTTCCGTAAGTAAAGTAGAAAGCCTGGGGATTCAGAGGGTATCGCTCCGGTGAGGAGGTAATAGATTGCGGTAAAGGCCATACTCCCTCAACTGAGTGCAGCCCAAGCTGGAGGAAAATAAAAAACACCAAATTATAGCTGGGAAAAGTGTATCGTCCAGACGTTACTACAGACATGACTTCCCTCGCTCTTCACTAGCGCGAACTGCACCGTCAAAACGATACCTGTCATGTGCTTAGATGAATGCAATCACATGACTGCGGCAGCGAGTTAATAAGTCGAGTTCGTCTTCCGGAAAATATAAGTAAACATTATTTTTATTTAAACATTATTTCATTTGGTAAGACCTGGACCAAGGTCGCTGTAGTTTAAATAAATTGTAAATTTACAGGAAATGCTTTCAGTTTTAGTTGATATGTATATATATATATAGTCTTATATATATATATAAATATATAAAAGACTGGTTTAAGGCAGCATGTACAGTGGGACGTACTCACACAACTGACTTAACAAAGTGTTTGCAAATGTGTCATGCAATGTGCTGCCTGAACCGCAGAATCTGACCCGGATATATATAAGCATCCCTTTAAAATATAAGTAAACGTAAGTTATTTTAAGTCATTGAAAACTTTAATTAAGAAGTACTCTACTACTCGAATTAATTTTAGCGATCCATTTATTCAATTCGATTCAATTTTATTTATATAGCCAAATCAATTTATTAAATGAAATGTATTAAATGAAAAGTAAAGGGAAATGACCGAACTCACTCACGAAACTCATTCAACAGGTAATTCAACAGAATGTTAAAAATGATGATAATTAAAAAAAAATACAGATTTTTTTTTTAAAGACCGAACTATTATAACTCTGTTTTGGTATATAAAACACACACAAACACACACACACATGCAATCACTGCTTAAAATTATAAACAACTCACGTTATATCTTTTTTCTGTTACTAGCCTTCATTTATGAGAACGAAAGTATTTTCCGTTTGCATTTGATGTGACTCTTCAATTATAAATGAAAATTTTCCAAATTCGTACTTATTTGAATTAGTTGTTGTTGTTTTTTTTTATAAACATTTAGGTTAAAGCAAAAGTTTGTTATATTAAATGTTTTTACATCCGTTCTTGCCCTGCTTGTCTGACGTAAGGCAGTCGTCAGTTGGTGACGCTGTGTCTCTTTGTTGGCTTAGCAGCAGCGGCGACGTTTTGTTGTTATTTTCGCCGCAGCTGAAAAACGGGCTCGGATCAACGTTTCATACGCTATAGACCTTTAGGTGTGCTTGTCACTTGCTGATAACCGCGCTAGGAATGGACTCAGACGAGGGTTATAACTATGAATACGACGAAGACGAGGAGGAATGTAGCGAGGACAGCAATGAAGAGGAACCCGACGACGACACCCTGGAGCTCGGGGAGGTGGAGTTGGTCGATCCCGTGGTGGCCGGCGGGGAGCGAGATGAGTGCGGTGAGACTGGCGGAGGAGGCCACGGCCCGGGCGAGGAAGAGGAGGAAGACTACCGTTTCGAAGTTTTGACTGCCGAGCAGATCCTCCAGCATATGGTCGAGTGTATTAGGGAGGTCAACGAGGTCATCCAGGTAGGTATTTTGGTATGACAGCATCAGGAAAGATCGGGGTCCTAGCGTAAAAACAGGCCGTGGATATTAGCTAAACCATTAGCCTTCCAGTAGTATACTTGTTATAGTTGACAGTTTGAGAACAATGATGAGATTTATAGAAAACTAAACTTACATATATATAAGATAATTGCACTATGGAACTTGGTAGTTAAAATGAAGACATGAAAATTTTTCTTATATATGTGAAGGTAAAAATTTCCATTAGGACTTTTCATCCAGGAAGTAGTCCCATCCCTAAGTTGGCAGCAACGCTTGCTAAGCTAATGTTAGCTCGCTGGCTACATAGCATCTTACAGCAAAAGCTCTAGACCAGGATGGTGTTGAGTGCCAGCTCCTGCTAGACGACAGATAGTGTGCGTTGAGATGTTAACTGAAACTTGGGTTTTCAGAAATTTTGCATTTCTAAAGCTAAACCTTGCGTTTAGTGTTATTTTAACGTTGGACCCAAAGGCTTGGCCAGCGATAAGTTAGCAAGTGGGATGCTAGCTTAGTTACGCTTATGTAAAAGAACGGGTTATGATAATTTCATTTTTTACCAATAACATAAAAAGTTAAATTTTGCGATAGCTTTCAATGAAATTTACGAAGAAACGGGGGGAAGTTCTTCGCTTTAAGCTAGCGTTAACCTGGGCCTCCATTTCCTTTCACAGAGCTTCACTTGAGCTCAGAATAAAATGGAAAATGATCTTGATAACTCAGCATCCAGTTTGGTATCTGAGAAAATGCGTTAGAGTTTTATGTTGATTTCTATATAAACAAGCCTAAAAACTAAAATTGGCCAATAATGATACATATTATTTTTCTACCCTACGGCCGCATGGCAGTTTCTTTTCTACAGCAAAAACGAGTAACACGGTGATTTTTATCCCCGTTAAATATTGTTTATGTTTAATTATTAAATTTTCAGGGTTTTGCAGCACCAACAAATGCCTTTAAAGTTAATCCATACATAGATCTTCTGATATGACGTTTGTAGAATATGCTTCAAAAAGCCAGTACTTTATTAACATGCATTGGCTTCATAGTGGTCAAGTTTACATCAACTTTAGTCATCGGTACTGAGAAGTACTACTAATCTTTTGACCAACCCATTCATATCAACGTGGTTAGATAAATTAGAAGAACATTTTGCAGTGGAACCACAAAGAATAACAGCTAAAGGAAGTGTAAAATTGAATCAGTGCCCTTATAAACGATACCATCATCATTGTTGTATGTTTTGCATATCTGTTTTAGGGTGTGTTAGTGTTAGCTAGGTGTACATAATACAGTCAGAACATACTAAATATGTTGTCAGTCCTTTCCAATGTTATGATTTTTGTTATCTCAAGGTGTATCCTGACTTTATTATTCCGCCAAGGTGAGCACCAAAGTAGAGATATACAAGCAGGGCTGTTTTTCTGGGCCAATGAACAGTCCATTACAGGGTTAGGTGGGATTTGGTACAAACCTGGACCACTTTCTTTGAAATTGTAAAATGGGCATTGGGCTAGGGAGACAATACACTAATTTTTGTTCACTTCTTTATATTTGACAAGTGAGATGCCACATATGTGCAACATATACATGTGGTCTCCTAAATCTCACAGATATTTTCCAAACAACTAATTATTATGTGTTATATGGGTAGTTTGAGGGTATAGCTTTCCCCATTTTTAAAGAGCAGTTTGTAACTTGGGTTAAACACTAATTTAGTACCTTACAGTAATTTCACATTAGAATACAGAGTTATTCTAATCCCTGAACTATAGTAAATGGAGTATAATAAGAAATATTTGTGTTACCAGGTACATGGAGAGAGGTTCCTCATCATCCCTAGTGCTTTCCCTAAACTGTACAGCCTTGGCACTGGACATAGTCCATTTTATGCTACTGTTACACCATCATCCACATTTTCAGATAGTTTGTGAGATACCTGTTACACATTTAGAATACAACAAACAAATTATGTGTATATTACCTGTTTCTGAACCTGACACGCTTTATAATTCCAAAGTATTTTCAGAATGATGGTGTAAGCCAGTGGTTTTCCTGGTTCTGAAAGGCCTTTGTGGGGAGTGACATGGCCAAAAGCATGACTGGTCCATTTACCGACAAGGGTGTGAGTTAGCATTACTTTATTTGGAAGAAATGTAAAGTGTTTCTGGACGGCTCCTAAAAATGATATAGTTCTTGGGTGGGTAAGAACACATTTAGCAACATAATTCCATCAGATATGGAGGTGATTTTGCAAGGATTCATCTGGTGGGTGAATCCTTGCATCCTTTCTTTACCCAACTTAAACCACTTTCCTATCAATGTGTAGGCTTCAGTAACCTAGAAATTGTATTTTTATTTTATTTCCCCCCAGGCAAAAGATCTACAAAAACAGTACTTTTATAGGTGTTTATACATCTATGGCTCTCTAACTGCAATTTGGACGGAAAGTCCTTATATTAAGCCACAAATGGGACTGGGTATATATGATCAAGCATGATGATTAAATCCATTTTGTAGGGTATTTATTAGTTTGAGTCATCAGAAATCACAATTGTCACATCAGTGGGACATAAGTGCCACATTTGGCTTCATCCAGTGTAATATGCATACAGACTTCTAAAGACTAAAACTTTTTGTTTATTTAAAAAATAAAAACTGTCTCAGTTGTGTCATCTTTAACAGCTACTGTGGTTATAAGAAAGGAATACATGCCTGAGTGTGCTTCATTGAATAGCTGTAATGAATACAAACTTTTCTAAATATATTGTCTATTATTATGGCCTTAGATTGTGATGATTTAATTTTGTGATAACTTGTAAAGCTGTAGTTGCTTTGTGTTGTATTTAATGTAATGGGCAGCTGTTTTTATGTC